GCTTACAAATTAAGAATAAATTTTGCCGCAATAAGATGCATTCTTCTCATTCTATATTCTAGAAATTAGGATCACCTCATCAAAATAACACCTTTCTCTGAACAACAGAATCATCTTTTTTCGCGAATCCAAACCAAATGCACCAATTAAACCTTATTCTCTTTGTCTACGCAGCTCTTCAATGAAGTAAACAGCCGCGACATGGAGAAGTTGAATGTGTTTCGTGGCATATTGGGCAGCTGGATATTCCTAAGTGTCATACTCTCTACTGCAGTTTTCCAAGCGATCATCGTCCAGTTCTTGGGTGCGTTTGCCAGCACGGTACCGCTTGGCTGGCACCTTTGGCTACTCAGCATCTTGATCGGAGCAGCAAGCATGCTTGTTTCCATAGTTTTGAAGTTGATCCCTGTGGAACAAGAGGCTGCCAAGCACCATAATGGCTATGATCTGCTGCCCGGTGGCCCGGATCAGGCTTGAAACGACAACATGGGAGTGGATGGAAGTGGGGTTTTGTTGGTCTGCTTTGACAGTGTCTGAGGCAAGTTTTGAAGTATAATAATACTGGAAGCTAATTAACCACCCTAACATTTCGTGGGAAATCAAACATTCCTACATAAAGTAATAAGAGTCTATTAAGCAATATAGTAAACGTGGTTCTATAAAATATGCTAAAAAAATCCTTTTGAAAATAAAATGTCTTGGGGTGTAAAATATACAAATATAGAGAATTAGGCCAAATGTGTTTAATATGTATTCAAAATATGTAAAACATCAAAAGAATGTGGGGGATAAAATAAGAGATTTTAAAACTAATCAAGCACCTTATGTCTCCAAATGGATTCAATGTCATATGGTGACAACAAAATTCGGTATCAAGAGGATCATGCCATTAGAAAATTGGGCAAATTTTATGGTGGAGTTAAGATCTATCATGGACTTACATATGAGAAAAATAATCATTTTTTTCTACTTAAATAAGTATTTTTTTAAATAAAAATGTAAAAAAAAGGTATTTTTATGTGAGAAGGTCTACAAAATTGATATGCACCAACATGAACTAAAGAAACACTCTTAGAATTATAAGTTTACTAACATACTCGCAAATAAAGCAATAAATTAGATTAATTGATTGAGAGAAAATTTAAATTTTAATGCCCACTTTGTATGTTTAGAAAAAGATGCATTTATTTTGACTGGATATATTTTTTTATTAAAATAAAAATTGTGATTAAAATTTATGTAAATGAGAGAATTTTTATAAACCAAATAATAATCGTAATTTCTATGAATGAAAACAAGCACAATAAATTGGAATGCATGCCACCCCTAATTTAATTACCAGATTGAGTCAAATTTGCAAGTTATATGGTATAATTGAACACACTATACCGAGTAAATTTGAAATGAACACTACGTTGATTATAAACGAATATTTGCAAGATGTATGTAGCTCTAGGTGCACCCAGATGTACAAAACAAACTCTCCGTCAAATTAGAAGTAGCTATATATGTAACGACCCAAAATATACCCTAAAATTTATTGAATTAAATATTCAATTAAACAAAATTTGTTTTGATTAAAATAAATTGTTGTTGGGGTTTGGGCTGAAATAAAATATATATTGATATCCAATAAACATAATTGGGATAAATCTCATACAGATAAATCCAACATGTTGATTTATTGTGTGATCTTGATTGGGAAACTGAGTACACACCAAAATTAAGAATAAATGAAGAAATTGTTTATAATGTGAACTTTGAAATGATTTATTGAAATAAATCATGGAAATAAATAATATGAATTAAATGTGAGAACCTTTTTGAATAAAGGTCAATTAAAACAATTTTGACTCTGTTAAAGTCAAACACCCAAAAATATGATGTCGGAAAAAGTATTACAAATAAATATAAAAATTATATCGTTAGATAGAGTTTAACTGCCCGATCGCAACGGTTCAAACGGAATGCAATTCGGAGAAAGTTGGACCAAAAAGTGTACCCCGACTGGAACCAAAATTGGTCCCAATCAGGGACACTGTGCGAACGGCTCCTCCCAGCGCACTAAGCCGATTGTGAATCTTCCTACGCTCAGCAACCAGTGTCTTCTTCTTCCTCAAATCTACTATAAAAAGGGAGCTAAGCATTCTCAATTCTTCACCAAAACCTATACTTCCTTGTTCTATTCTGTTGCTCAAAGTGACTAGAATGTTCATATAGATCGTTTCTACGTTAATAAACGGTCGTTTGGTTGAGTTTTGTGTTTGACGTGTTTGAAGAACCAAGAATCATAAACCATGAAATTGTTGTTAAAATTACGAATTAATGACTCTAAAATTATTTGTGAACATTAGAGAACATTTTTATACAATTAAATTGAAGTTTGGTGATTAAAAAATGATAATGTTAAAACTGACCCGAGGAAGAAGATGATGAACAGTGGCCGAAAATCGATTATTTACTTACTAAAAATCGATTAGAATTTTATCCAGATCAGTGGTTCGAAGTCAGTACCATTTAATCGATATTTTATGTTGTAAAAATCGATTATTATGAATTAATTGATTATTAATATTGTAAAAATCGATTATAATGAATTAATTGATTATTTAAATTGTAAAAATCGATTATTATGAATTAATGGATTATTTAAAATTATATAAATCAATTTTTATAAATTAAATGATTATTTTAAATTATTTTCCCCAATTCCAGATCCTGCTACGAAAATATTCCTGAAAATATGCTCTAAAATCCTATTTTTTATAACAATTAATTATGAACAATACAAATATGATTTTGTATAATAAAATGATGTTTTAGGCATATAAAACATTATGTGATACATGACGGTAAGTTAGAATGTTAACACTCAAAACTAGACCGCTATTTGTTATCAATTGTTATGTTGATTAATGATTATGATGAATGATGATTATGGATGATCATAAATAATGAACTAACTGATCAAAATGATTATTGATGATTCAGCCATGAGAGTAATGAATATATTGATAATTATTAAACGATTTGTATTGTTAAACGGTATCTAGAAGAACTCGTATCATGACTTATTTGATCAGCTTAGAGAATCCATTGTATTCTCTAAGATTGACTTACGGTCAAGATACCCACAAATCGCTATCAAGAAACTTGAACAAACTGACGACCAAGAATCGCTGACCTTTACAATGAACTGACGACTTGTTCGATCAAATTCAAGGAACCCGTTTGTTAGAAACTATAAACAGCTCGACCTTGTTATAATAACTTAAATGCTTATCGTTGAAAACATTAGTGAAATAAAGTGATGCTGACAAGGCAAATAGTTAAGAAAATTGACTCGTTCGTATACGCTATTAACGTGAAAGATCGCGATGTGGAACAATACAAAACAAGATGTGAAACAGTGACACCAACAGTGAAAGACTGAAGAATGAAGAAAATATAGCTCGCACTGGTCATATAGCCTAGAATAATATTTATGGAAAATATCATTTCAACATACAACTTGGATCATATGAGGAATGTTACAAATGCAATTCTAAGTCTAATCTCCCAGGATTCACAAACTCATCATAACTAACCCCAGGTCCCGGGAAAGCTTTAGCAAACTCTAGTTTGTCTAAAAGCTCGTCAACAGAGAAAGAAGAA